GAATTTCATATAGGGTGACAGTTTTGAAATTGACAAATCTATATGTGTTACATTGAGTTGTCCCCCCATACCCCTAGGTAATACTAAAATAACTATCCATTGTGGTTCGTTTTGATGAATTTACTTTTTTTATATTGATATATCTTTCAATTTTATTAACCAATTTTATTTGTTTGTAGTGTTATTTTTCTTGCTGTAATAAAAATGAATGTACAGTTTCAAGATCTTTAATGCTTCCTCAAGGCTTAATGTCATCTTCTCAAATTTGTCAGCAGGTACATTCATTTTATTTTTATATATTTCTGCAAGTTCTTTGATTATTTTATCATCATCTGGAACCTCACAGACAATATTTTCTTCAGGATATTCAAAAATTCATCAACTTGCATTTTATGAAAGCATTTAGTGACACAAAGTCATGAAATTGGATTGCATTACATATTGGAAATTATCCAATCAAATCAAAAAATTTGCCGATGATTTCTAAATTTATCCTAGTTACACGATGAATTTTATACATTAGTCACGAGGGGTGCATTTATGGAGTGAGTTTTCATATGAGTGGGACTGAAAAAATACCATGCAGTGCAGAGTATGGAGGGTGTGCATTTATCACTAAGTCCTGAGGTTGGGACCAAGACATAGCATGCATTTATGGAGGGTGTGCATTTATGGAGGGTGCATTTATGGAGGTCTGACTGTAGTGAAAAGATTTCTCATCTAGAAACTCAAGTTGAAAAGTTGGAAAAACTAAGCAAGCAATTTGCTGATAGTGAATCACAGAATGAAAGTCTAAAAAGGTTAGATTACTTAGCAGCAAACCTTTACCTGTTGAAGAAGAAAATAAGATTCTAACTAAGCAAAGCATTTTCAAGTGATTAAAAACAAAAGCAAAGGTTAAGATTCAAAAACTGCAAAGTCTAATCAAAAAAGAAAAATTTCACAACCAAGAAACAATTGCTCAAGTAGAGGTAAAGTCTAAATAATGAGTAGATTACAATGAGAGAACTGGAATACACAGTTTTAGAATTGGAAAAAAGAAAGTAAAAAAACTTGCGATTTTTGTTCTAAACTTGAAAACAGAAACAATGAGTCTGTTCATCAAATAAGGTCTCACACTAAAGTGGGGAATGAATTTCAGATGACATGGTTTGTGAAAGGTGCAAAGAAAAGTATTGGAATGATGAATTGTTAAAGTGTAATAGGTGTGGTAGATTACAAATTAAGTTAAATTTTGATATTGTTACTGGTAAGAATGTTTGCTACTGTATTAGAAACAATGAAGACTTGAAGAGAAGGAACTCCCCCTCTTACCTTATGAAGAAATAAACCAGTCTGCCTTTTATGAAAGACAAATAAACTCCTTACAAGAACAATTAAATGAGACTGAAGAAGCATTGGAAATTGAAAGAGAAGAAGTAGCCAAGTTTCAAGAGAAACCTGAAGAGTGAGGTAAAAGACAGAAGCAAGAGTTGTTAGATAAGATTAAACAACAAGAAGCAGAAATTATTAAATTGACTCAGAAAATTGAACAATTGAA